AGGATCAGGAGGTTGAGGCCGAGCGTATGCCGTGGCGTACCCTGGGAATCGACCTCCTGGATCTCACTAGCCACGAGCTGGACGTCACTGACCACAGCATGGTCATGGTCGACGAGGCGACACACGTGCCGATCACCGCCTGGCAGTCCGACACGCTTAGCAAGACATGAAAGAAGGCGACACCAGACCATACTCGAGCTGCTGGAAGATCGATGGATTCAAGCATTCGGACCCTTTTGTGACGATTCGGGTGAGATCCCGCGGGCTCCATCGCGAGCAGCTGAGTCTCAGAATGGTGTGCGTCGAGTGACTTTGGGATCGAGCAGCTAGCCATACCTTGAGAGGATCATGAATGCACAGCTGGGACAAGTTGAACGGACCATCGGCGTACAGCTCATAGCTATGCTGCAGGACAACGGCCTACTACCAGCTCAAGCAGTGGCCCTCGCAGCAGGAGCTCAAGGCGAACTTGATCGAGTCAGAGGCTTCGCACCCAACCAGTGGGCCTTCGGCAAGTCCCCCGACATTGGCGGATGCCTTGTGGACGACGACTTCGAAAACAGACCTCAAGGCGAAAGGGAACGAATAGGTGGAACGCTCGAGGTCCAGCAAGCTCAACGAACAGCAGCAGAGAATACCTACCGAGAGCGTCAAGCAGAAGCACTGTGGCAACGTACATTCGGAATGATGCATCTGAAGATGGAGGAATATCCACCTGGCAACATAGTGTTCTATCGAACGAGGCCGAAGGTCTTGAATCAGAGCCCTGCTTCCATGCAGTCAGCGTGGTTCGGACCTGCTCGCGCAGTAGCAACCCAGACGAAAAAGCCGACCTACAACATCACGAGGCCGGAGGAAGTCATCTGGGCGGTCAAAGCAGGTGGATGTTTACTTCGAAATTGACCCCAAAGCTTCGCACCGAGAGAAGTCACTGTCGGGGAGAACCTGAAGATGATATCAAACTTCGCAAGGACATGGGACAGATAGGTTATGAAACGCAAAGCCGGAGAATTCGAGACTCACTACTGGAGCTCGAGAAGGAAGCAGAGGACGTGGATGATACAGGAGGTGATCTTGGTTATGAAGTACCAAGTCCAGCCGAAGAGTTCGAACCACCTCCAGCCAGACCCTGGGCGAGGATCCTCTGACCATCCTGGAGACGAAGCTCTGGATAATCCTCAGCGACCTACGAGATCCCGCTCGCTGACGATGATAAGACGAGGATAATGAAAGAGAAGAGACAGCTCATTCATGCCACAGGGCCAAACGAGAAGAAGAGACCTGCAGAGTTCCAGGAGACCCAGAAGGCACTTAAGAACGTGACCAGCCCAATTCTGACCCAGAGCAGCAAGCGGCTCAAGGACCGTGGCACGGAGATGCTCGAGGAGGCGAGAGCGCTGCCAGACGAACTGGAATCAATGATGTTGGCCTCGGGAACCGACAACAACAGACCAGAGGCTGTGAACATCTCCCTCCACAGCGACATGGGTAAGTCCGGAAAACGCAGGCAGTTCATGAGAGACGCCTCGGCTTTTGTCACATTGCAGCTGCGACGGCAGCGAGTTGAGGTAAACCTCAAAAGGTGCACGCTCGAGGAGCTAAGCAGTTCCTGTCAGCCAAGACGTCAGAGGTGAGTAAGTGGCTTACCTTTCAGGCGTGTAAGGCAACGATCGGAGACGTACCTGCTGACTGGCCTGTGACTGGCTGGTCAGAGAGAGATGGGTCCTCAAGTGGTAGCCTGTCGACGATGCCCGCGGCAACACCACGCAGAGGGTCAAGGCGTGTTTGGTCATCTAGGTCTTCGAGGGTTCCAGCTTAGTGCAGGTGGATACAGCAACATGTACCATGAATCGCAACACGATGGATCTAATCTTACAACTCGCCGTGAAAACGCTGGCTGTTAGAGAAGGCAGGCGCCACCACGGCCTTCCTGCAGGGTGGCGAGACGGAGACAAAACGCCAGATCTACGCGAAGCTGGTACCTCAGCCCGCCGCAGAGCTGGGACTAGGCTAGAGGAAGGACAGACCGTCCAAACTCTCAAGGCCTGCTCTGGTCTGGCAAATGCACCAAAATGGAGTGGTACAACTCATTGGTCAAGAAATGGTACACCCCAGTGGGAAAAAATCAAGGAATGAAGTTCCAGGAGGTTCAAAACCGAGCCGTGCTGATGGATCATCTGCAAAGGCTCTCTGGATCATGCAGGGTTGGGAAAAAAGGTCTACAACAAAGCAGACGAGCCGAAGCTTGCGGAGCTGACGGAACCTACAGCCAATAGGGAGGTGATCAGCCTCATAGCCAAACATGTGGACGACTTTCTGATCGCCAGGCCCGAAAACGACCTGTAGTGGGTGAGGATCGGGAAGACTTTTCACGAGGCGGTTTCGAAGACCAGAAGGGAGAAGAACAGCTTCATGCACTGCGGTATGACGGTGGATGGATTTCAGTTTCTTTGTACCCCAGTCCGAAATTGCGAGCCGATATGTCTCATCGAGGTGGGCACTGAGAGGAAGCGCCAGGCGGATACCCCGGTCACCGAGAAGGAGATCTTGCAACTGCGTGGGATCCTGGGGGCCGCTCAATGGCGCGCAACACGAACCGTACCGCAGTTTTCAGCAGCCACTAGTTTCGAAGCTAATCGGCTTGTGAAGGATTTTAAAGGAGGCTAGGCTAGGCACCAGACGTTAACGATTCACAGCTCTTCTCTGGAGGAATCCCCGGGCGACATTGGTTTCTCAAATGCAGTTGTGGCGAACCGACCCGAATTGTCGAGTACGCTAGGTTTCGCCGCCATAATCGCTCCGACGTGAATGCTGGACTGCGATGTTTGCGATTTCACTCTGATCAATTGGGCTTCGAACAAGTCTCCCCGAATTGCACACAACTCGTTGTCGGCTGAGCTTCAGGGTTTCATGGAAGCCAAGGGCGAGGTGATGTGGCTCCCCGACCTCAGTGGTCGGAGATGCTCGGATGTCCGCTGTGCCTGCAAGCCCAGTGGGCCTCAGTCCGACAGGTCCCAGGCGCTTTAGCGACCGATGCGAAGTCGGCGCGCGACTCGATGTATCGCCCAATTTCTTCACATTTCGGTCTCAAGGATAAAACGGCAGCAGTCGGGCTGCTGGCCATCCAGGGAAATATCACTGCTGGCAGCACTCTGATGCGCTGGATCATCAGTGAAGTTCGGTTGGCAACCTCACCGCGGTGGCAGCCCGTCATAAGTTTCCAGAGCTGCTCCTCGCCAAACGTTCCTGGCGCATCCCTCTGGGTCGAGAGATGCCAGCGCAAAGAAGCGCCGTCTCGAGGGATACGAACGGTTCGATGCTCGACATTCGTTCAAACGCCCACGAGACCTGGAGTGCCGCGTGGCTGCGCCTGTGCCTTCATTGTGTGCCCCTGGCCCCGTAAACCGCACCAGCCAGATCAGCGGCCTCGGCCAATGGCCCAGCGGCGGTTGTCTTATGACCGCCTTATACCGGCATGCCTATCTCTTCATCTCGAACAGGCCCGAGAAGAATGGAACTGATCCAATGGGTGAAGAAAGAGAAACGAAAAACGGCATAAAAAGATAACACATAAGCTTTGGAGCTCCGCGCGGGTTTCTTGGATGGGCGCTGGACCCCCCCTCCCTGGCGCGCGGAGCCGCCAGGGTTCTAGAATCCGCAGCTCTCGCTGGCACCCCGCCTGCCTGGAGTATGTCGGATAGCGTCATCGTTTGTCCCCTGGTTATCTCGAGCGGGCCTTTCGAGAGTGCAACTGATACAGCGTGGTACAGTCGGCCGAGAGTGCAACTGATCCAGCGTGGTACAGCCGGCCCGTATCATAAGGATGCGCGATAAGGATGCAAGGGCCCTGGACGCCCATTTCGAAGCTTTTCGAGCACGGCGCGGCGAACGAAACTGGCCAAGGATGGATCGAGAGGGCAAGGATGCAAGGGTACCCTTGGGAATGTTGCCCGTCCTTACAAGGCGGGTTGACTGTAGGAGAAGGTCCCGGCAACGACCACGCGGCCCCCCTGCATAGCGCCCCGTGGCAGTCAAGGATCCCCCCCCCGCGGACCGCACGAGAGCCCCCCGCCCTCGCTGCACTGAAGCCGGCGCGGAATCGCACGACGACGGCTGCCGGAAAAAGCGGACTGCCTGGGAAGTCTCTTGCTGGCCAGGGGCACCGCCTGGACGCGCACTGGCGCACGGGCGCTGACGACCCGGGGAGGCCGAGGGGCGGTCGAGCAGAGAGGAGGCGGTGGCCGAGGGGGGAAGCGAGGAGGAGAAGGCCTTCTTAGAAGGCGGCGGGACTTCTCAGAAGGCCTCGGCCCTTCTGAGAAGGCTTGGAGAACTTCGCAAAGGCCGGGGCACTTCCGAGCCTTCTGAGAAGGCCTTCTCATTCTCACTTCCCCCCCGGGCTCGCCGCCGAGACCCAGGGTTAGGGAAACGAAGAATGACATAAACATAAAAACTCGGTGGTCCGCGCGGATTTCTCGGATCGGCGCTGGAGGGGGGTCCAGCGCGGATCCTGTCTGCCGTGCTTTTTGGGGGGGTCTCCTGGAGGCTTGGACCAGGTGGAACGGCCGAGAGTACGGTAGCAGAGGGGTGACCTAAATAGAAGGCAAAACATCCACCCGCATAATAAACACCCCGACAAGCGAGGCCATTTAGTGAACGCATCCAAAGAAGGAACCGAACAGGGCAGGGCTGCTTAGTAAACGCCCAGGGCCGTTGAGTAAACGCCAGTGATTGGGTCCGGGTGGTTCTTCTCCCCTTGACGAGAGCAAGGCGCTAAGTCGTGCCTGTCCCCCTACAGGGGGATGCTGGGCGAACAATTCAAAATACTCCCAAAATACTCCCAAAACGCTCAAAGATAGTCCACAAAAATCGTCCCCAGCCTATCTTATGACCATGTTGGAATGTTCCTCCTGTAGAGAAACAGGCCCGACTTCAACAGACCACCCAGTGAGTCGGAAAGGGCTCGCGTCTGCAGTTTGGGCCGGCCGTGCCAGGAGCGCCACCTGCCGACCAGGGGGATGTTGCGCGGGGAGTCCACGCCGGCGAGCAGGGCATCGATCACTGGCCTGAGTCGGGAGGGCGGGGGGGGGAGGAGGAGGAGGAGGAGGAGGAGGAGGAGGAGGAGGAGGAGGAGGAGGAGGAGGAGGAGGAGGAGGAGGAGGAGGAGGAGGAGGAGGAGGGAGGAGGAGGAGGAGGAGGAGGAGGAGGAGGAGGAGGAGGAGGAGGAGGAGGAGGAGGAGGAGGAGGAGGAGGAGGAGGAGGAGGAGGAGAGGAGGAGGAGGAGGAGAGGGGGAGGGGAGGGAGGGAGGGAGAGGAGGAGGAGGAGGAGGAGGAGGAGGAGAGAGGAGGGGAGGGGGAGGAGGAGGAGGAGGCGGAGGAGGAGGAGGCGGGAGGAGGAGGAGGAAGAGGAGGAGGAGGAGGAGGAGGAGGAGGAGGAGGCGGAGGAGGAGGAGGAGGAGGAGGAGGGGGTTTGGCGAGGTTGGGGGGGCGATTGGGGAACAACTGCTGCTCCATGACACCGCACTCTGCGCAGCATGTGGGTCACGACGGGCTCACGCAGCCGCGACCCAGAAACGAAGGGCTTCCCAGACGAACCGCGAGCGCCTCACGTCTCACGCACACCACTGCACCAAGCTACCGTGCGCACTTCTCTCCCGTCAGGGCGCCGCCGGACAAGAATCACTGAAGCATCTAACCAACCAGAGCCACACAGGAGGGGGGGGGGACAACAAAAACGAAACCCCTACTTCCTGACATCTTCCAGACGCCCTGGTGGCGCCCCGAGAAGGACCCTGGGGCCGACCCAGCTGTGGCGACGGGGGGGCTCTCCGCCCGAAGGCCCCGCGCGGCATCAACGGGGGAGGGGCACGGTGAACACACAGCAGCCTTCCAGCCGTGGTTGCGCAACGACTTCGCTCGGCCTGGCCTGCACTTTGGTTGTCTGAGGAGAACAGTTTTTCGTGTCGGGACCAAGGGGTTGGGAGGATGAAGGCAGGAACGGGGGAGAGGCACGGTGAAACACAATAGCCTTCCAGCTGTGGTTGCGCAACGACTTCACTCGGCCTGGCCTGCACTTTGTATGTCTGGGGAGAGCAGCTATCGTGTCGGGGGGGAGGGGTCGGGAGGATGAAGGGTATGAACCATCGCACTCAGATGCCATGCGCGATACCTTCGACCGCCTACGGGTAATGACATCCACATGTCTCCCAACCCCCTCCTTCCAACCCGATCGCTGTCTGCCTGATTGTTGCGACCCAGTACCGTCAGAATGCATAGTAGGGGAACGAAGAATGACATAAACATAAAAACTCGGAGGTCCGCGCGGATTTCTCGGATCCGCGCTGGACCCCCCTGCCGGCGCCTCCAGCGCCGATCCCCTAGGGTTGGGGGGGGTACAGGTTCCATATGTGTTTTCTCTGTGTCCCCCGACCCCCCCCCATGCTGGAAATGGAGGGCAAGTGGAGGCCTTCGGGTTGGGTGGGGGTGGCTCGGTGGGTGGCGAGGGGGGTCTGGCCTGGGGCCCGACCAAAGCAGTCTTTTTCGTTCCCGCTTTGTCTTCGTTGTCCCTCGTTCTGTCTTCGCTCCGCCTTCGCTGCAAGACGGAGCCAGAACGAAAACTGCCCACGAGACATCGCCAGAAAACACCGTGCAGGTCGAGCCCTGGCGTCTGGCCTGCCGGCCGCGACGCCACCCGCACGTGTCCCAGTCGAAAGGAGGCGCCGAGCCACAGAAGCCCCGCCGTGCGGCCGCAACAGCCACAGAAAATCTCGAGGCGGACAACTGGTTCAGCCCTCCCCTCCCGCGGGGGGGCATATTTCACCGGCCAAGGCCCACGGATTACGTAGTGTAAAATGAAAGTGCGGAAAACGTGTAAAAAAGTCCAGAACAAAAAACGACGTAAACATGAACCTCTGGCGCTCCGCGCGGACTTCTTGGATCTGCGCGCTGGACCCCCCCTCCCTGGCGCACGGAGCGCGCCAGGGGCGGCGCCGGACGCGCCGCCGGGGTGGCCCAGCGCGGATCCGACAAATCCGCGCGGACCTCCGAGTTTTTATGTTTATGTCATTCTTCGTTCCCCTACTCTGCATTCTGACGGTACTGGGTCGCAACAATCAGGCAGACAGCGATCGGGTTGGAAGGAGGGGGTTGGGAGACATGTGGATGTCATTGCCCGTAGGCGGTAGAAGGTATCGCGCATGGCATCTGAGTGCGATGGTTCATACCCTTCATCCTCCCAACCCCTTCCCCCCGACACGATAGCTGCTCTCCCCAGAAATCCGCGCGGAGCGCCAAAAGTTTATCTCTGTGGCGTTTTCTCTTCACCGACCGGATGAGTGCAAAAAGGCCCGCATGAGACGAACACGACGTGCTGCCGCGGCCGGCAGAGACTCCCCCCACCTGAAGGGGCCGAGCGCAAGGATCGTCTAGTCCCCCTCATCCTCCTCCCCTTCCTCCTCCTCCTCCTCCCCCTCCCTCCTCCCCCTCTCCTCGCCTCCTCCTCCTCCTCCTCCCCCTCCTCCCCCTCCCCCCCCTCCCCATCCTCCCTCCTCCTCCTCCTCCTCCTCCTCCTCCTCCTCCTCTCCTCCTCCTCCTCCTCCCCCTCCCCTCCTCCTCCCCTCTCCTCCTCCTCCTTCTCCTCGCCTCCTCCTCCTCCTCCTCCTCCTCCTCCTCCTCCTCCTCCTCCTCCTCCTCCTCGTCACCCTCCTCCCCTCCCCCTCCTCCTCCTTCTCCTCCTCCTCCCCTCCTCCCCCTCCTCCTCCTCCCCATCCTCTCCCTCCTCCTCTTCCTCCTCCTCCTCCTCCTCGCCCTCCTCCTCCTCCCTCCTCGCCCTCAAGGACCTGGAGGCCCCCACCGCCAGTGTAAGCGACGTGAGGCGAAGAGTTCGAAATGCAGGGAGGAGCCCACTCCTCAGAGGCCATCAGCGCACTGCCTCAGGAGAGAGGAGGAGGAGGAGGAGGAGGAGGAGGAGGAGGAGGAGGAGGAGGTGGAGGAGGAGGAGGAGGAGGAGATCAAGATGGCCAGGCCCCCACCCCAATGAAACATGTCAATGCAACGCGAAGTTCTGGGAAGCCGGTCGAAGCAAGGGTGAGCGAATCGCAAAAATAATCCAGCACAACGTGCCTACACAGCATGCGCCTCTCTCGAAGACTCCTAGATCGAGACGCGATGCCTACTGAACGAGCAACAAATACACGCTTGCATGCACACCTGTCCATGGCAAATCTCGCGACAAAAACCAGACATCGTGCCACCCGTGGCTGTCATCCTTGATGGCCCTCGCCAGCGTCGCCGCCGCGTCGACGCGATACGAATCTGTTGTGGCCTTCCAATCAACAATCTTCTCCCCCCGTCAACGGCCCGTTGCAAAAAGAGGGGGGCGGAAGGACCACGGCGCCGTGCGGGCCCCGAACCACCGAGAACCCTCGGAATTCGTGCCTGGCAGCGGGAGCTCCCCGACCGACAGGCCCAGGATGAAGAGCCAATCTCGGGCAATGGGTGGAGACATGTTGGTCGACGTCGCGAAAGATCATGGCGTCGGGGGTCTGGGGAACTCGGATCGGATCCGCAACGGGTCGGAGGGCCAGCGAGCCGTTCCGAGTCGGGAGCGGATCGCCGCGCCCAGCGCGGGCTGGCCCCGGCCGGCGCCGGTGAATCGAGCCGAACGAAATGGGGATCGCGACCCCTTCTGGCAAATCGAATCGCATCGAACTGGATCGTAGGCGGCCCCGACCGACGTGAGCACCAGCCCGCCTCGCCCCGAGTCGCCTCGCAGCCCCTGTCAAAACCGCTCTCGCGGCTGCTGGCCTCCACAATGAACGTGTGCCCCAGGCCACGAACGCGAGGAAGAGCCCGATCAACAGCACGCACGCCTGTGCGCCGTCCGCAATTTGCTCCGCAGTTCAGTGGCGCTGCGTGTATACGTATTTAGGGTGTACGTATACAGGTGTGTCCATATATGCATATCCATAGTTACGTGTCTATATATATAGACACATCCATCTATATTCACGGATGCTCCATGCATAGGTGTATCAAACATGCATACATGTTTTATGTATGTATACACATGTATATATATATATATATATGTGTGTGTGTATAGATGCAGATATATGTCCAGTGCGATCCTGCTTGAACGGGGCCCCAACCCTCAGGGGGCCTTCAAGGGAACATCCAGAGCTACAAGCGCGGATCATAGGAGGTGTCGGGGACGCGAGAACGTCTGGAGACACATCGCAAGCGGAACGATGCAGAAACGTGTGGCAGAGGCCTCGAGGGAGGCAGCGTCGATGCTGCAAGTTCAGTCTCAAAGGGAAATGCGGTGAACCGCTGTCCAAGCCCCCATCAGTGTGCCAGGCATGCATCTTCAAGTTCTCTGGAGCAGAGCGAAGGAAGGCAAAACCGTAGGTGAACAACAACGGGGTCCCGCGCGCGCCCTCCGCACGGGCGGGGCACGCGAGCAAACGCGACGCTGAGGACCGTGGTCGGCCGCCTTGCGCTGCCGCCTTGAGGATGCCCGCCCTGCTGGCCCCTGCGCTGACATGCTGAAGACAGGTCTCACGCGTGCCATGGCCTCTCGCACAGCAAGGAATGGGGAGGGGGCGGATGGAGCGCGCCGGCTGGTGGATGAGGTGGTGGAAGGGAGCATCGGGGATGGGGGGGCGGAGCTGTGCCGAAAGAAAGGGGATGCGGAGGGGGCGCGGGCCGGAGGGGGCGCGCTGGCTGGTCGGTGGGAGGATGCGGACGGTCTTTTGTAAGGGGGGCACGCGCTGGCTGGTGGGTGGGAGAGTGCGAAAGATGCGGGCGGGATTGGGGGGGCGGTGTCGTGCCGAAATAAATGGGTCGGGGCGGAGGGGGCGCGCTGGCTGGTGGGTGGGTTGATGCGGCGGGGGGCGTGCGGGAAGGGGGGGGGGCCGTGCCGAAATAACAAGGTCGGGGCGGAGGGGGCGCGCTGGCTGACGGTCGGGGCGATGCGGAGGTGGAGTGCGGGATGGGGGGATGCGGAGCTCCAGACACCCTGTGCGCTGGTCGGTCGGCCCGGTGCAGTGCCAGAATAATGCGGTCGGGGCGGAGCGGGCGCGCTGGCTGGTGGATGAAGAAGTCGGGGTGGAGAGGAGGGCGCGCTGGCTGGGGACAGCGCCGTGCCGAATGAAAGGGATTGGGGCGGAGAGACGCGCTGGCTGGGGAGGGGGGGGGGACCGGTGCCGTGCCGAAAGAAAAAGGGTCGAGGCGGAAGGGCTGGCTGCGCGGGGGGGGTGCCGGGGGGGGGGGGGGGGGAGGGCGTTCGGGGCGGAGGGCCTGCGCCGGGGTCGAGGCGGAACGGCCAGCTGCGCGGGGGTGCGGGGGGGAGGGCGGTGCCGTGCCGAAATAAAATGGTCGGGGCGGAGGGGGCGCGCTGGCTGGTTGGGGAGACGGGGCGGCGCTGTGCCGAAATAAAGCGGTCGGGGCGGAAGGGGCGCGCTGGCTGGTAGGACCGGTGCCGTGCTGACATAAAGCGGTCGGGGCGGAGCGGGCGCCTTGGCTGGTGGATAAAGAAGTCAGGGCTGAGGGGGCGCGCTGGATGGCGGGGGAGGGGAGGGGGGCGGTGCCGTGCCGAAATAAACGGTCGGGGTGGAGGGGGCGCGCTGGCTGGCGGGACCAATGCCTCGCCGAAATGAAACGGTCGGGGCGGAGGCGGAGCGCTGGCTGGTGGATAAAGAAATCGGGGCGGAGGGGGCGCGCTGGCTGGTGCGGGGAGAGAAAGCGGCGCCGTGCCGAAATGAATCGGTCGGAGCGGAGGGGGCGCGCTGGCTGGTGGGGGCCGGCGCCGTGCTGAAAAAAAGCGGTCGGGGCGGAGGGGGCGCGTTGGCTGGCGGGGCCGGTGCCGTGCTGAAAAACAGCGGTCGGGGCGGAGGGGGCGCGTTGGCTGGCGGGGGGAGACGGGGCGGTGCCGTGCTGAAATAAAGTGGTCGGGGCGGAGGGGGCGCGCTGGCTGGTGGGACCAGTGCCGTGCTGAAATGAAACGGTCGGGGCGGAGAGGGCGCGCTGGGATCGAGGCAGAGGGGCTGGCTGCGCGGGGGGTGCGGGGGGGCCGGTGCCGCGCCGAAGCAAAGCGGTCGGGGCGGAGGGGGCGCGCTGGAGGGGGCGCGCTGGCCAGCGGGGCCAGCGCCGTGCCGAAACAATAAAGCGGTCGGGGCGGAGCGGGCGCGCTGGCTGGCGGGGCCGGAGCCGCGCCGAAATAAAGCGGTCGGGGCGGAGCGGGCGCGCTGCCCAAGACCGCCTCGAGCAAGACGCCCTCTGGTGACGACGGGTCCCCGTGACCGGCCCCTGGCGGGCGCAGGCCTGCAAAAACTGCGGCCTCCTGCGCCCGCTCAACGATCGAAAACAAAAACATGAGGGACAACGACAGGGAGCAGGAGAGGAGGAGGAGGAGGAGGAGGAGGAGGAGGAGGAGGAGGAGGAGGAGGAGGAAGAGGAGGAGGAGGAGGAGGAGGAGGAGGAGGAGGACGAGGAGGAGGGGGATAACATCGACCTTGTGCATAGGCGTATGGGGGAAAACATCGACCTGGGATCGGCGATACATCGCCGATATAGGTCGGCGATGGGCCCCCGACGTGGCCGCGACGCTACCCAATTCGCTGATCGACTCGGCACGGTGCGGGTCCTATCAACTTCGCGACGCTCGGGCGAAGGGCCGAGGACACCAGAGGCCCCTCCGGCGAAGGGCAACTGCTCACGTGCACACGGGCCAGGTCCCTCCTCCCTCCTCCCTCCTCCGTCTCCCTCCTCCTTATCCCTCTTCCTCCGCCATCCTCCTCTCTACTCCTTCCTCACTCATCCCTCCTCCCTACTCCCTCCTCCTTCCTCCCTCCTCCCTCCTCCTCTGCCCCCCCCCATGGTCACGTCACGATTCGCGCTGGCGCCGTCTGAGAATGAGCCACTCCTGGGCATTCCCAGGCGGCGCGGGCACGAATCGTGACGTGACCGGCTCCATCCTCCCCTCCCCCACCGCCCCCCCGGTCACGCCCGCGATAAGACCAGACCCCCGACGTCAAGATTTTTTCCATAGCGTCGACCCACGTCACGAGCGCTCGTCGCCACTCCCATTCCCAGGCGGCGCGGGCACGAATCGTGACGTGACCGGCTCCATCCTCCCCTCCCCCACCGCCCCCCCGGTCACGCCCGCGATAAGACCAGACCCCCGACGTCAAGATTTTTTCCATAGCGTCGACCCCCAGAGGTCTCGACCCATTCCCCAGGACCAGTTCTTCATCCCGAACCGTTTCTTGACGCCGAACCTGGCGACAAAGACCTCCCGTCGCGACTGTTTCACCACGCGTGGGGGTCTGGGAGACCTGCCCCCCCCCCCCCCCCGGGCCCGGCCGCGGCCTGCCAGATGGTCTCGACCGTGGTGCTCAGCAGGCCCTCCTCTCGGGCCATCGCGCGCCGGGCCAGGCCGCCGACCTCGCGCTCCAGGGCGCGCCGCGGCTCCGAAGCTGCCGCCGCGGCCTCTGTGGCGGCCCCGTGCGCGCCACGGGACGCTGCTCTGGAGGCGGTCCCCCGAGCTTTCTGAGCTCCTCCTCCTCCTCCGCCTCCGCCTCCTCCTCCGCCTCCTCCTCCTCCTCCTCCTCCTCCTCCTCCTCCTCCGCCTCCGCCTCCGCCTCAGCCTCCTCCTCCTCCTCCTCCTCCTCCTGCTCCTCCTCCCTCCGCCTCCGCCTCCGCCTCCTCCTCCTCCTCCTCCTCCTCCGCCTCCTCCGCCTCCTCCGCCTCCTCCTCCTCCTGGGGTCGAGGCCACGGCGCCTCCCGCGCCTCCCGGGGCCAAGGCGCCTCCAGCATCTCAGAGTCGCTGCCACTTCTTTTCCATTCGGGGTGCCAGGGGCAAGAATCCCGCCCCCTCGCTCGCCGCCGAAGATAGGCTGGGTACGCCCATGATGCATGGGTGATCTCACAACGTGGGCTGCTAGAGATCCCGAACCCTTCCCCCTTCCCTGGGGCAATGGTTCCACAACGCGGCAAGGCCCTTGGCCCAAGGATCAAGAGTCGACCCCGGACCCGTCCGGGCGTGCGTTCAGCACAGAACTTCGAGGCGGATCAGGTATAGTGGAAGCTCGACCACAAGAAACCTTCCACAAGAAACCTAACCCAGGACGTCCGTTGATTCTGGGTGTGAGAACGTCGCGCTTCCCATAGCAAGATCATCGAAACCGAAAAAAACCAGGGCGCCCTGGAGGCAAGCAGGGCGTTTCTTGGTATGGGTCTCCACCTTACACCTTCAGGGCGGGTGCAGGACGAGCTGGTCTGCGGTATGCAGGTGTTGCAGGCGAAAGTGGGGTAAAGCCCCAGACGTTTCGGGGGCGCGCAGACATGGATCGGGGGAGGTGCCCTCCCCACAATGCGGCTGGTGCCTCATTCGGCGGCGGAAATCCACGATTTCCCATGGAAGCGGGACCCGTCGCTAATCCACGCCCTCTTGATCCATGTTTGCGATCGCCTGAACCTTGTCCGCAGAAGATCATGACGGAGGCTTTACGCTGGTCTCTGCCACCTGCGGAGGCCCTCGCCGGTCCCAGGGACCGTCAGAAGACTGCTCAGGATGAAAGGCCAGTCCTGGGGAAAGGGTCGGGATTCATGGACCCCGGAGGAGGAGAGGGAGGAGGAGGAGGAGAAGGAGGAGGAGGAGGAGGAGGAGGAGGAGGAGGAGAAGGAGGAGGCATCGGATGTCTCGGGAACGAGCGCCGAATGACGAACGAGGCCCTGGCCCCGAGAGCGCCCGGGTGCACGAGGAGCGCTGGAGGAGCAACCACAAGGAAGCCTGAGGAACCGTGAGCCCCCTCCGAATCCGAATCTGTTCTGTCACTGCCGCGTCTTGTCATGGTCCTCCGCAGGGTGGTCGTGATGCTGGAGTTTGATGTCGTACCTTTTGTGGGGTTACTCCAGAGTTCGGGCACTTCACACGCACCATCTTCTTCTCCATGGTCCTCCTGTGCACTGACATCGCCTTTGGCCCCATACTGGGCCGACAGATGCGTCGCAACGCACTCGACACACCAGAGGACCACAGACGTGCCCTGGCCATCGCTCGGACGTCCATTCCCTGTGCTTTTCTCGGTTTCGTGCGTGGCTTTTTCGCCAGATGATCGAGGATGCTCCTCGATGGTCCTCGCCGAAGGAAAAACGCACACGTCCAAGCGATGCCAAGTGCCTCGCGCGTGGCACGATCGGGAGGAGGGCCGGCGTGCGCGGCGTGGCCTGCCGTGCGATGTGGGCGGAGCCCGGAGGGCCTCCGCCGCGCAGGTCACACGACGAGCCGTCGGGGGAAGCCTGCGGCTACACTCAGAGTCGGGTCTGTCTCCCCTAATGCGGGATGACGATTAATAACAAAAAATTGGAGAGAACGATTAAAAAAATAGTTTTCTGCGATTTCTGCATAATTGTCTGACTGGAGGAGAAAGATAAAATAATAGTTTTCCAGCCCGCACTCAAGTCGGGTCTGTCCCCCTGCAAGGGGATTTTGGGCGAAACATTAGCTGGCCATCGCTCGGACGTCCATTTCCTGTGCTTTTTTCGGTGTCGTGCGTGGTTTTGTCGCCAGATGGTCGAGGATGCTCCTCGAAGGTCCTCGCCGAGAAAAAAATGCACACGTCCGAGCGATGCCAGGTTAAAACTACTTGCAAAAAAATGCCCCCCGAATGGGCAACAGTAGTCCAAACATCGTCCCCAGACTATGTTCGAACTATTTTGGAATACCCCTCCTGTAGAGGGACAGGCCCGACTTGAGGCTACACCACGATAGATGGAGCCTGTACGAGTTGGTAACGAGCTGCTTGGTGCCATGATAGAACTGCTTGGGGTTCGCCTGGCAATCGGCATCTGTTGCTGCATGGAGCGCCCTGTGCCCGCGCTGGCCGCAAGCTCCTTCCCGTGCGAGCCGCTTGGGGCAGTAGAAGCGTCACCGGCGGCGTGAGGAGGGGGCCACATGCGAACCCTACCCCTACCCCCACGATTTCTGAGGGACGATTTTCCGAGCGAAGTGAACCCCACCCTCCCCCTCAGAAATCGTGGGGGGTAGGGGTAGGGTTCGCATGTGGCCCCCTAGTGAGGCCACCTTTCCCACCTTCTCCTTCTCCTCTTCCCTCCTATCGCGGGCCCGGCTGGCGCTGGCTCCCGCCGCAGCCCACCAGCGGTGGCGCTGTGGGGCCGTGGACTCTGCGCACGGGGAGCTCCACCTTCACGCCAACGGTGGCAGCCAGTGCTGGCCCTCGAGCGCTTTGCCAGCATCTCACCCGATCAACGGAACCACGCTCGCACCCACTGCCAGCGTCGCCGTGAAGATGTCGGCATGGGAGTTGGGCTCTGGAGGGTGCTGGTGCTCCTCGAGATGGGGTTGAACTGTTGTACCATCGCTGTGGGGGTGGTGTACTTGGTTGAATCCTTGGATGTCTCTGGGTACACTGTCACACGTCTTCGGGGCATCGCGGAGTTCTTAAAGCGATGTTCATCCCGCAGATGCTGATCGGTGGTTTCAATATGTCCCCTGACCTCCTGGCAGAGGCAGGCATGTTCGAGATCTTGCATGCGCGCATGATTGCCCCTTTCGAACATTCAGCTCAAGTGCCCGGGTGGCGAGGCCATGGTTGACTACTACGTGATGAGTGCTGGCCGTGTGTATGACAACCTCGAGGTGTCGGCAGACCTTACAAGGCCCTTCGAGGCGCAATCTATCCCCGATGAGTTCATCGGCATTGATGCGTTCTCCCAACCGGTGCGCCAACGAATGAAGCCCCAGGCTTATCGGGGCCCCGTAAACCCAGACACGCTAGACCAGGACACCCAACATCCCTCGAAACCAATTTTTTCAGACGTCGGCACGGACAACATACTGCACTGCAGCATTTCCAGAATCAACCCGAACATAATTCCTAATAGTCTGCAAGATCCCCTTAATCCGGACACAAACAAGAAGGGGTGTCGTTTCCTTGGTGTTCCGTGTCCTGGTTTATCTGTGTCTGATCTCTGGGGGCCTGAGCTTACTCTGAAGCGCTGGACCTGGACACATGTTGGTAATCCTATGGCTTCAGAAGCAACGAAATACCATAACCAACTTCAAGGGGGTTTCTAAGGACCTCTGGAGTGCGCTACCAGATCACACTACCGAGCATTTGTCTTGGGTTCTTGGCGTGGATGTTCTCGTCTGGCTTCTAGCTGTCGAGCTTATGCTGATATTCATAACTTGTGCTCCCATCGACTCCCCTTACCAATATTTCGGTCGCGGCAATTTTCCTGCGTCGGCGGGATGCACGAGTGCCACCAGGAAGAGTGGCAACCCAAATTTTCCGCTCGCCTACCCTCGCCTTCTGGTCCACGGTTTTCAGCAGGCTGCACGACTTGTGGAAGTTGCTGAATCATTCTCACTATGCAGCCGCTTGCAGGCACCGTGATCTGTTTGCGACGTTTGCTAATGGCGTTTCTGCGAACCTCGAGCCCATGACGGGCACTCGGCAAGCCCCGTCTGCAGCAACCTCTTGGATGACAACCCATACTCGCTCGAAGATGCAAAACTCATAATTGATCGTGCTGGGGAGTTTGTGGCAAGGCGCGGACCCAGGCCCACTACAAACTCAAGCAATGCATTAAGGATTGGCATCGATCTCATCCAAAGCAGGTCCATGCCTAACTCAAGTCTGAACATCAAATCTATGTTGGATACTTCGCCGGAGCCAATGGAGCAATTAGTAACCCAATATCCATGATGGCGCACCGTGAATATTTGTGGGGCTCTCGGTGACTCCGAGCGGGGCTACGAGGACGACTTGGAATATTGGACAAAGCGAAATATGATCTCTGGCGCAGACCAGACGCCTCTCGCTGAAACCGAAACATTGGATAAGCGTGATCTGTCCAGAAATTGTACGTGTTTATCCTCTCGCACTGCAGTTAGAGTCGATGCATGATCACAGAGAGGCTTGCTGTCGCTGCCTGTCCAAGCTATTGACCATACCTCAGATGTGTTCCATCAAGTAGAAACAAGTGACCTTCCCGCCGCACTGCTTCCTGTGTCTGCTGTCTATGCCATCTAACTCGGTGTCTGAGGACCGTGCAACATTGAACTGTCCGAAGATTTACTGCGTGGATTATCAAGCTCGTGGTTTTTGACATCGACTCTTGGACTGCTGAACACTCATCCCTCTTGGACTCTTCGATTCGAAAACCCTCTGCATCAAAAGCGGCCCTGCATCGTATCGGACAATTTGTCATGATTTGGCGGCGTCGTCGGGGATGTCTGCGGTGCCGGCCAACTGGGACTTTGAAACGTTCTTCAACTCTGTATCACCCGCCAACCTTATGCACCTGGCCATTCGCAAAAACTGCCCAGTGTACCTTTTGCACTCAGAACTGATCTTCCACGCGGCTCCGAGGGTTCTCGGCTATGTAATCCGAAGTCATAACCGTTGGCGAGCGAGTCTATTCCGGCGGGGCGTAGCCAAAACATGCCTTGGATCAAATGCTTCCTTGAACGATGTCCGGGAACCGGCCCACCACAGGATATCTCTGGCGGTTGCCGATCCAGCCGTGCATGCGATCCCCGACAGCCAGGGTGCCCCGTCGATCTCGCGGGGATGATGCCACTCAGCTCTTGCAAGGCGCCGTAGCCTCCCGGAGGTGTCTTTCCCGTGCAGCACGTGCGTTCGGAGACGGTGCGATCTTACCGAAGTTGTGCGCGCGGCCCCGCCTGCGGACGTGGAACGCTCGCTCGCCGCTGAGTTGCGCTCTCTGGGCGCCTCGCTCCCCCCCTGCGTGAGCTGCCCAGGACCTGGGGGCAATGGCGACGTGATGTACGGTGGGGGCCCGACCACAAGAGACCTTCCACAAGGAACCCAACCGAAAGACTCCAGGACGTCCACTGATTCTTGGCGTGGGCACGCCACGTTCTCCATAGCAAAAGCATCGACACCCAGGAAACCCAGGGCACCCTGGAGGCAAGCAGGGTGTTCCTTGTATTGGCTGCCACTGTAAGCGGCGCCTCACGTGGATGCTGAAGCTTCGCCGAGGAGGCGCCTTCTGACGGTCGAGGAACGTGAGATACACAGCTCGTCTTTGTGTGGGAGACCGAAGAATCTCCGACTGTCAGGAATGTTTTCGGTGATCTCCTGGGGACATCGCGCCTTGTGTATCCCGCCTGGTCGGCTGCGTCAGTTTCGAGCTCAGGCAGCCTCGTGCGCTGGATTCTGGAGTTCTGGGTCTTGTGCTACCAGTGCTCGACGTATCCTGCATGACTACGCAGACGACCCAGTATAGACTACGAGAGGAGCAGCTGAGTATGATTTCTGATCTTTGGCTGATCCTCGAATTTGGTGTTCAGGACGGCGTGCGTCGTGTTTGGGACAAATATTGTTCGTCTTTCTGGACGTCCTTGCCTCTGATAGGTGGCGCCGGGTGGAAACACATGTATGTGCTGTGTACGTCACGCTTCTGGACGTTGGTTGGGATCCTCGTGCTGATTGTTGGATCGTCCATGGGGGTACTGAGTTGAAAACCTCAGACCTGGACTGAAACTTTCATTTGGTTACGTGTGTCCGGCGTCCTGGGTCACAGAAAGGGTGGTCCAAAGCTTCTGCGCAATACTCGATGATTTCGCAAGGCTCTGCTTAATGAGCTGAACTACAAGCAAGCGCCCATGCTAATCACCATTTGTTTGGTGGCTGCTGGCCAGACGACCGCGTGAAATATTCAGGATACGCAAGAGATGACAAGTGTCCGAGATGGGGTGGTTTTACTAACAAGGTGCATCACAGGCGTTCGACATGTCACAGTGCAGAATACTGCTGCAGATGCGACCACATCCCATCTGACACCCGGGGCTGATGCCACCGATCCCCAGTCTGCCTTCTGGTGCCGAGGCCACCCACATCTGGCGGATGCGGTTTGCACTCTCCTGCCATCTGTTTCGCAAGCTTGGCGATGGGGGGGGGCGGTTCTGCACCAGCAACATGTTCATGGAGGCTTATGGGGACTTGATGGGTCTGGAGGCTCTTTGACTACAGAAGAAAAGGCTAAAGCACTACGCGTGGTCCATGGTGAAGCTGCCTGGGCCAAGTGGTGATGATCCGGGCGATCCTGACAAACTCCAGCTCGATGCGGCTATGTGTGGTGTGATTTCATTCTCACAGTGGCCCAGGGCAGTCCTCGTGCAGAGATTTACATGTTCCTGATGCTGTTGAGACATATGACGGGGAACAGCAGTGTACACTGAGTAGCTTCGTCTGGTCAGGAGCTATGTATGAGTAGCGTGCTTCGATTCGTACCACCACCGCGGCCCTGATTTCCAGTGCGGTTGACGGTTGGGATCCTGGCCGGATTTAACTGTTGTGGATTTCATCGCACGCGTCTCGGGCAATCCAGGAATCGCACGCAGCTCCAGGGGACGAATTATTCCTCAGGTGGTGCTTTGCGGGAGGGGCTGCCATTGCATGTGCAGAGCCGGAAGCCCTCGCCCGCCAAGCAGCTCACGCAGATGCTAAGGCCCCCTCCGTTCTCGGCAGCAGGGCGCGTCGGACAGGTCGTGCCCCGCCCCGCCCGCGAGCGCTGTCCAGCCTCGCGACCCGCCAGCAAAGGTTGAAGACGGGTGGGAGCAAAACAGTTAAGCGAGGCGGAGTCCTTCGCCTTTATAACCCGTGAGCGTGACTTCCAATCGAGGGCCGCTGGCGAAGGTTCTTCGCTGGGCCGCGCATCGGTGCTCCTGATCTGAGTCAGGGGGACCCTCTTCTGCACCCAGTGTGCCCCAGAGTGGGGTGATTGCATCGCCTGTCTGTAAGTGGCGGTGTCACGTGTTGCACTCAATGCAGGACGATTGCACCTGTGAGTGTGCAGGCGTTGAACAAGGACTGCACCTTTGCTAATGGCGAGAAGCACTCCAAGGCGGGGGCCCAGGCGTTCAGCCGTTTGTCCTGCAGGCTGTCGCCCAATGTGGCGTTTCCTTTCCCACTGTGTGGGAATTTGCTGAACGATAGTGCGCTGGCTTGACCAGGTCGCTATGGTCGCTCAAATCGAACCAAAATCCTTGTCCCTCGTCTTCCTCCTCCTCCTCCTCCCTCCTCCTCCTCCTCCTCCTCCTAACCTCTCCTTCCTCCTCCTCCTCCTCCTCCTCCTCCTCCTCCTCCTCCTCCTCCTCCTCCTCCTCCTCCACCTCTCTCCTCCTTATTCTCCTCCCTCCTCCTCCTCGTCCCCCATCCCTCTCCCTTACCAACAGCTCCTCCCTGTCGCACCCCGAGGCCTGTCGAGAGGGCGGGTCAGGCGTTTCGCCCGAGACCTCCTCGCCATTCTTCTGATCCCGAGGCTCGACATCTGCAGCAGCTCTCCACGGATGGAGAGGGCGGGCCGCTGCCACAACGCGGCTCTCTTCCCTTAGCGCTGCGCGCCGTCGGCTTGGAAATTTCTACAGGAGCTTCACCGATGGAGGGCGGCTCGTCTTCAAAATGCGGCTCTCGCCTCCTGGCCATCGCTCGGACGTCCATTCCCTGTGCTTTTTTCGGTTTCGTGCGTGGTTTTTTCGCCAAACGATCGAGGATGCTCCTCGAAGGTCCTCGCCGAGGAAAAAACGCACACGTCCGAGCGATGCCAAGCAGCGCCGCGCACGTCCGCCTGAAACAATTCCAAGCGCCTCGCAGATGGAGGGCGGGGTTCCTTTTCAAAATGTGGCTCTCGCCGTGGCGCCGCCCACATGCGCCCCAAGAGCTTGCAGCAGTTTCAAGGGTTCTCATGGTTAACGTCCCAGAACATGTGTATTGGCACGATGCCAGAACGTCAGGGCGCAACAGTCACGTTGACTCGCGGTGTGGAAATCCCTGGAACGGTGTTCTGGCCCGATTCAGGATCGTCAGAACGCAACAATAACGGTGGTTCGCGGCGTTGAAGCCGCAAGAATGGTGTTCTGGCACAGTTCCGGATTTTCAAACAATTGTCTTCCAATTAGGGTACTTCCCTCAGTGAAAGTAAACCCTTGTAGGGGCCTGTGAAGAGGGAACTTGGAGGGATTGTCGCTTGCGATATCGTTGATGAACATTGGGCTTGCACTGGTCCTCCTTCTCCTCTTCCTCCTCCTTCTCCTCCTGCCTCCCTCACCCTGCGCCCCCGTCGTCGTCGTCGTCGTCGTCGTCGTCGTCGTCGTCGTCGTCGTCGTCGTCGTCGTGGCCGTCGTCGTCGGCGTCGTCGTCGTCGCGGTGGTGCCCGTCGGCGTCTTGGTCGCGGGGGCCTCGGGCGGCGGGCGTCGTCGCCGCCGGAGGCCGCCATCCAGCTTGGCGCCCGGACGGAGCGCCGGTCGGCAGGCCCAGGGGAGGCCCCACGGGCGGGCTCGGGCCGCGCGCTCGCGGGGTCGCCTGTCCTGTATACTTTCCCCCCTCCAACTCTGCCCGAGGCCTGGGCTGTGCGGTCACGGTTGGGTGCCGCTTGTCGTCCTCCTCTCGAGGGGGAGGAGGAGGAGGAGGAGGAGGAGGAGGAGAAGGAGGAG